ACGTTCAGCTGCGACGTGAAGAATCCTCCAGACATCTCCGGACAGATGTCCTTCATTAAAGTCAGGGTGGTCATGAAAGGTGAGCGGACGTAGAGTGTAAAAAACCCTGAATGTCTGATAAAAAATTCTCTGCTTGTTTGTAGGGTTGCACAATTTTACCAAAATTGTGTGATTGCGACTTGGATGACATCAGGCACGTGGTTATTTGGACACGAGTGAACTACAATGCCTTGGTTATAAAATAAATAATAGTTAAATAGTCATATGTTAGGCTACGTCATGAATGTAGAATCATTTGGATTCTGCAACGGTGGTTTCGCTTTTAATTTCGCAAATTGGTTAGGTTTGGCCTCTTTTTTTATTAAAAAAAGTATTGTTATTGTTACTAAATAAAACTATTAAAGATGACTAAAAAACAAAAATGGAAACATAACTAGTGATATTTCTTTTTTTTAATAGTGCTGTAAAAAATTACATTTAAAAAATAAAATTAAGTCAAACGTCAAAAAATGACATTTAAAAAAAATATTAAGTAAAAAAATTACATTTAAAAAATAAAATTAAGTAAAAAAATTACATTTAAAAAATAAAATTAAGTAAAATAATTACATTGAAAAAATAAAATTAAGTAAAAAAAAATACATTGAAAAAATAAAATTAAGTCAAAAGTCAAAAAATATTATTGAAAAAATAAAATTAAGTAAAAAAAAATATTGAAAAAATAAAATTAAGTAAAAAGTCAAAAAATTACATTGAAAAAATAAAATTAAGTCAAAAGTCAAAAAATTACATTTAAAAAATAAAATTAAATGTCAAAAGTCAGAACAGCTTTACAGAGAAAACGTGCAAATTTAAGAAAAATAATATAATTTTACATAATTTAATAGTAACAGTGCTAATATTTATAGCTGTCTTCATTTCTTTTCAAATTAACTTCAAATGTTCTATTTTTCGACGGAAAACTGCAGAGACCCTTAAAGCTTCTCTTTAGTTGATAAGCACTTCTCCTTCCGAGCTTGTCCTTCTCATGCATGTTAAAGCATCTCAGACTCCGTCATGTGCTGTGTATCGAATCGCTTTGAGATGCTGAAAACACCAGATCATGAGCTGCTCACGTGTAAACGAACACGGTGTATATATTTGCATGATTCAATCACAGCTTTTGTGACGTAATAATCTCAAAGCCGTATCAGGATTTTGTTTTGTTTTGGTGCCGCTGTACTCACAGCGAGCGTGTTTCTGTGTTCAGAGGCTCTTCCTCAGACCAGCGCGGCGGTGATCGTGGGCGGCGTGATCGGAGCCGTGATCGGCATCATCATCATCGCTGTGGTCACCTACCTGATCATCAGACGGCAGGAGCCCAGTCACGACTACGAAGGGTACGTGTCTGTGATTGATGAACCGTGTCTGTGGTGGTGTGGTTTAACCGGTTAACTCGCGTGTGCATGGAGCATGACGTCTGATTTGACACTAAACCAGACTCTGTGTGTTGGATTGACATGCAGTGTGTTGTGTGGGACGCACAGTGAACACGGACGACACAACACACTGTCTGTAACACCGTCTTACTGACGGCCTGATCATCTCCAGGCTCATATTTCACCACAGAACGAAATAAATCAAGCTCATTTGAGGCCCGTAAAGAGGATTTGGGAGCACTTTACAATAAGCTTTCATTTGTCACCTACTTTAGTTAACATGAACTAACATGAAAAATACTTCTAAGCAATTGTTAATCTTAGTTAATGTTAATTTCAACGTTTACTAATGCGTTATTGATAACAAAATGTATACTTGTATATTATTTAATGCTAAGAAATTAAACCGTTGTATTTTAATGTGAACTAATATTAAGAAAGATCAATATAAAATGAGTTCCTCATTGTTAATGCATTAACTTCATTATTGTGAAGTGTTACCAAAGTTTTTCAGTGTGACTGATTATCATGAGAATAAACACATTTTTCCCTCATTGTCAGTACTTTAATGTGTAAAAAACACTATTATTTACATTGTAGAGTTGTTATTAGTGGTGCTGTTGTGAATTTATAATGATTTCAGTAAGACAACTATTATTATAATAAACAATATTATTTTAGTATCATTGAGATACTATTATAGTTTTTATTTTGATATTTTCTGTTAGCATTTTTATTTTAAAGTTTTAGTCATTTTGTATTTTTTAATTTATCTGTATAGTTTGTATTCGTTTTTCAGTTTTAGTTACTTTAGTGCATCAAGTAAAACTAAATTAAAATAGTAAACGTTGACTCAGCAAATCGCTTAAAGTGCTCCTATTATGCTATTTTTAAGGTTAGGGTAAGGTAACGAAAATGGTTTTACGTTTAGTTTTAGTTAACTATAATAATTCTGGCAATAATAGTGTAAGACTCATCATTGTTTAAACGGGGTTAAATGTGTTTTATTGTTATGAAAATAATGTCACAATAGTGTAAACATGCTTTGGTTTATTTATGTCTTAGATTTTAAGAACTGCTCAGTGGAGGAGACTGAATATTTACTAAATATTTACTAAAAAGCTCTTCTGACATTTATTTCAGCTTTGTTTTTAGAGCTTTGTCATCAAGGCAAAAGCAGCATTCATACTCTTGTTGACGTTTTCGTAGTGGTTTTATCTGGTTCTGAATGCAGCACTGTACATGTGCTGAAGTTTTGTTCAGAATACTTGTAGTGCACATAGAAACAAATGGTTAGGGTTCATGTAAACGGTGCTTTGTGAATCTCAAATCGTATTAAATTAATTTGGCTTGATGAAAAGAGTATGTAAACAAGCCTACTGTGAAACATGATGAAACATCCTTCATTTGCTGTAAAGAAAACATGATGTGGTACATATTTGTGCTGCTTTGTGTGTGAAATATGAGGCGTCACATATTGATGTGTGTCTGCAGTGTTCAGTGTGTCATTAACCCTGTCTACTCACATCTGTCTGTTTGTGTGTCATCTCATCTGTCTGAGGTCTGTGTGTGTTTTGATCAGAGCAGCTGGTGTTGCGGCGTTTGTATCATATTGCTTGTGTCATCTCTCATCGCATTTGTGTTTGTGTCCATCTCTGTGTGTATGTGTGTGTGTTTGTGTGTGTAGCTGCACCTCGTTAGAGAGTGTGAGCTCGCAGAACACTAGGGTGGGGAAGAAAGCGGAGTCTAGCAACGACAACTCGCGCTGCTCCAGCCCCTCCGCCCCTGTACAGGTACGAGCCTCCCACAGCCATGTGTGTGAGTGTGTGTGAGCGAGTGTGAATGTGTGAGTGAGTGTGAATATGCGTGAGTGAGTGTAAATGTGCGTGAATGAGTGTAAATGTGTATGAGAGCGAGTGTGAATGTGAGTGTGCATGAATGAGTGTAAATGTGTATGAGAGTGTGTGAGTGAGTGTGAATGACTGTAAATGTGTATGAGAGCGAGTGTAAATGTGTATGAGAGTGAGTGTAAATGTGTATGAGAGCGAGTGTGAATGTGAGTGTGCATGAATGAGTGTAAATGTGTATGAGAGTGAGTGAGAAAGTGTGTGAGTGAGTGTGAATGACTGTAAATGTGTATGAGAGCGAGTGTGTGTGTGTGAGTGAGTGAATGTGCGTGAATGAGTGTAAATGTGTATGAGAGCGAGTGTGAAAGTGTGAATGAGTGTGAATGCGTGAATGAGTGTGAATGCGTGAATGAGTGTGAATGCGTGAGCGAGTGAATGTGCGTGTGTGAATGTGCGTGTGTGAATGTGCGTGAGCGAGTGTGAATGTGTGTGTGTGAGAGCGAGTGTGAGTGTGTGAGAGCGAGTGTGAATGTGTGTGTGAGTGCGAGTGTGAGTGTGTGTGTGTGTGTGTGAGAGCGAGTGTGTGTGTGTGTGTGTGAGAGCGAGTGTGAATGTGTGTGTGTGAGAGCGAGTGTGAATATGTGTGTGTGAGAGCGAGTGTGAGTGTGAATGTGTGTGAGAGCGAGTGTGAATGTGTGCGTGTGTGAGAGCGAGTGTGAATGTGTGCGTGTGTGAGAGCGAGTGTGAATGTGCGTGAGTGAGTGTGAATGTATGTGTGTGAGTGAGCGAGTGTGAATGTGTGTGTGATCAAGAGTGAGTGTGTGATCAAGAGTGAGTGTATGTGAGCGAGTGTGAATATGTTTGTGAGTGAGTGAATGTGCGTGAGAGCGAGTGTGAATGTGCGTGATTGAGTGAATGAGTATGAATGTGCGTGAGTGTGAATGTGCATGAATGAGAGTAAATGTGCATGAGAGCAAGTGTGAATGTGTGTTTGAGCGAGTGTGAATGTGTGTGTGTGTGTGAGAGCGAGTGTGAATGTGTGAGAGCGAGTGTGAATGTGTGAGAGCGAGTGTGAATGTGTGAGAGCGAGTGTGAATGTGTGAGAGCGAGTGTGAATGTGTGAGAGCGAGTGTGAATGTGCTTGAATGAGAGCAAGTGTGAATGTGTGTGTGAGAGCGAGTGTGAATGTGCGTGAGTGTGAATGTGCGTGAGAGCGAGTGTGAATGTGTGTGTGATCAAGAGTGAGTGTGTGATGAAGAGTGAGAGTATGTGAGCGAGTGTGAATGTGTGTGTGTGTGTGTGTGTGTGTGTGTGAGTGAGCGGGCAAGTGAATGTGTGTGTGTGTGTGTGTGAGAGTGAGCAAGTGAATGTGTGTGAGTGTGTGTGTGTGTGTGTGTGTGATCAAGAGTGAGTGTATGTGAGCGAGTGTGAATATGTTTGTGAGTGAGTGTGTGTGTGTGTGTGTGTGTGTGTCTGTGTGGGCTAGTGTGTGTGTGTGTGTTCCCATCAGTGCTGATGCTGTTCACATCAGTACATTTTCACCCTCATGTCATGGGTGTGTGACTGTGTCTCTGAATGTTTACGATGTTTCTGTCTGTTAGGCTCCTGAAATGAACAGAAAAACTGTCCCAATTCAGAGGCTGCATCCTGTGAGGCTGAAGGGTGTTGTTCCCTGGCTGTGACCAGCGGCAGTAACGTTTGTAAAAGAGATATTCAACAGTCTGTTAACTAAACAAGCTTCACAACTGGTCACAACATGTTCAGCCTGTCATGAATGCAGCCTCTGAATTTGAACGGCCCTAAATTTAATTTGTTATTCACTTATTCACTTAAGCATGCACATGCACGTTTCCCACTGAGACTCCAGATGCTGCTGTTGGTTATATACAGTATGTGCTCAGTTATTAGTTTAATTAACACTTTTACACTGTAATTAAATTAGGATTCAAACACTCACCTTCAGAAATGCCCAGCAACAGCGACACCAACTGGAAAGACTCAACAATAATAATTGTAAATTTTTTTAAAAATAATAATATTTTAGAAAATAGTGCAACACGCACTCTACAATCATAAATGTGACTATTTCTTAAAAAATAAGTTTCATCCAACTTCAAGGCTGTCATTAGACATCAGACTCATCAGGGAAGCCTGTTAAAGGTCCCTGAAACATCATTGTTATTAAAGAAATGAATTTACATATATGTTTGTAAAGTGAGTGTTTCTCTTTTTCTACAGTTGAAATTGAGTTGAACCTCTACAGTTGGTTGAGCACCCGTTCTTCCGTTTTAATTTAATAATTCTATAAAATAATTTGTCATTGTCACTCCAGAAATTAATCACCGTAAAATTTTATTAATTTACAAATATTATATAAATATTATTATTAATAATTTTATTGTTGTTCTATTAAATAATGTTAATAATTATTAATTTATTATTATTAAATATTCTTTATTTTACAATACAATAGTAATATATTTATTTGTATTAAAACAAATAATGTTTTGAGTGATAATAGTAATAGTATTTGTTGTGGTTGTAATATGATTCTGAATGGGGAAACAGGTTTTTTATCTTTATCTGATATTTCTCCTTTCAGTCTGAGTGAGTTGTTGACACGCAACGCATTTCCCGTGAAAGCAAGCATATTCGCGTTTGCGCTGTGTTTTCTGTTGTGTGTGTGTTTGTGGTATGTGGAGCTTGAGCGAACAGCATCTGCTGTCTTTGTGTAAACTCAAACGTTCACGCTCTGCTGAAGAGCGCCGCTCATCTGTGTGACGTGTGTGTTTGCGTGTCGCGTGTCAGGCACGTGTTTCTCTCTCATTGTGTGTCTCTGGTTGGTGTTCAGGGGCCGGTGATTTACGCCCAGCTCGATCACTCCGGCAGCAAGACCTCCTTCCACAAGATAGAGCCGGTGGTGTACGCAGACATCCGCAAGAACTAGAGCGCCGTGGCATGTGCATCTCTTCTTCACGTCATTCAGAGGTCCTGTGAGACTGACGTGACCGGTCAGACGGGTGGGTTAGTGGGTTAGTACTGGACTGACGACGGCACGTGACCACAGACTCTTTCTTCTGCTTCTGTGTGTGTTTCTATGTCAATGTGAGTTTCTAGAGTAAAATAACGCAGCTGTAGATGACGGATCTCACACGCCGCATGTCTCACCACTCAAACTACATAGACGTTGCATAGAGAAATGTTTTTTTTTAATGACATTATTGTCATGATACGATCACCCCCAATCCTCACGAATGCACAAATTCTCATGACTGGAGTACATTCAGAAATAGTTAATACTAAATACAAAAACATTAATACTATCATGATGCATGAATACTTTGACATTTAAATAATATATTTTGATTTTGCATAATGATCGTGAGAGTTTATGGGAAAATGTGCCAATTTTTGCTTTGTCATTTTTTTCAATTATTATTTTCTTAAAATTATTCTTAAGTTAATGATCAAGTTCCCTATTTTATTTTCTTGTGCACATCCATGTCACATTTCACCACAAAATAAAAAAAAAAAATTATAGTTTGCATAGAGAAAATTAAGCCTTTCTAAAGGACCACGAGTTGATTTTTTTATGACAATATTTTTGACAATTATGATTAGGGTTGCAAAAAGGGGGAAATTTTCCAGTACATTTCGGAAACGTTCCAGAAATGGAAACATTCCAGGATTTTTAAAAATATTCCAGGGATTTTTGGAAAATTTCCGGAAATTTTCCACCCCTTTGCAACTCTAATTATAATTCTCATTACTGCATTAAATTATAACATTACTGTAATATTTTTTTTTTAAATCAACATTAAAAAATGCATCAATATTTTGCCATCCAAGTAATATATTTTGAGAGTTTGGAGGGGAAATGTGCTTATTTTACATTTGTTTTTTTTATTTTTAAATGGTCAAGCTTCATTTTTTATGCACATTTCACCACTGAATCAAAATGCGGTTTGTGCGGAGAAAATGAAGCCTGTCTATTAGACAGAGATTCTGAAAAACACATGGATGCCTTGATTTGTCCCGGGATCGTTTGATTTTGGTTAATTCACACTGCCAGTGATTTGCCTGGAATATGAGCGTGCGTTCACACACATCCCGGAATCATTGCATTCACACAGAAGGCACTCTGGGAATTTTCCGGGATCAAGGCGCTGTGTGATCGGGGCTCAGGTGTCCTGCAGAGTTCAGCGCCAACCCTAATCAAACACACCTGAACCAGCTGATCAAGCTCTTACTAGGCATACTGCATTAAACCACAATTTTACAAATACCATTATGTATAAATACTTTCAATTTACATTACATATTATTTTTGGATTATGAGAATTTGCATTGTGATGTTATATATATATTTTTGCATTAATTGTCCCAAAGAGAAGTAGAATTTTCGGATTTGAATCCGGCGTGTTTAGTTCGTGTGGTGAGACGTGATCCGCATGCGTTCGTGAGATCGACTGCAGCATCTGCGTCTGCATGTAACTGACCTTCTAACCACAGCTGAGGATCATGGAGCATGATCCCAAACACTCCAAAAGCTGCCAAACGGAGGAGGACGGTTTGCACGTCTCAGTGGTTAGACTAGTTAGCTTGTTAACAAGACGGCACTAATCCTGTTAGCATAGGTGTGTAGAAATTCCCAGTCTTCAGTGTTAGTTTAGTCAACTAGACTGTACGTTCCGCATTTAATGCATCTCTGCCATTTGAGTTGAAACACTCCACTTTTATGTCTTAAGTTTTTTTTTAAATCTTATGTCATAACTTAAGTTTTGTTTTTATTTCTGACACTATTGAACACTATTGAGACCAAAATCAGCTGTGACTGACGGATCATTCCTTTGTGTTTCTGATGCTGGAGTCATGTTTTTTTGTTTCTTTTGCCTAGATTATTTTTTGTACTGCACATTCCATGATACCTGTCATGCTGGTTTGATTCTGTACTGCGGTTGCAAATCCTGCGCTGTTTCTGATTCAGACTGAAGCACTATTGCATCACAAGATCATGTTAACTGGAACACTGTGGATGAGAGTGCCTTCATCGACTAACACCTGTTACACACTTCCTGTGTTTTCTTCTTGTTTTATTTGCCTTTTGTATATGAAAACAGACATATCTGTCTAATTTTATACATGCATATATATAAATATATCAAACTGAATGAAGGCGTCTGTTTTGTGTTGTTGTGCGTTTTTGTTTCCACCACTGAAGAAACAAAATAAAAGGTAATTGTGACTGTTTATCTTGCAATTCTGACTTTTTTTCTCAGAATTGTGATATAAAATCACAATTTAGAGTTACAAAATCTGAATTGACATTAATCCACAATAAAAAAAATTGCAAGAAAAAAAGACAGAATTCTTGTCATGACTTTTTACACAGGATGAAAACTGGCCCAGACTAGGTTTTGGAGTAAACAATGTGCTTTTTCCCCCAAAAAGCAAAATTTCAGTCTTTTTATCATTTAACATAAAAAAATTCTAGTTCATCCAACATTTCACCTCCTCGAGGAAATTCAGCAAGGAATTTTCAGCTACATTAATTCCTGCTTTAAAAGGCCGGTACAATGCATGACATCAGCATAACTATGATACGAAATGCCAAATTTATTAAAGATAGAGCCCAGTGGAATCATGTATAGAGAAAAAAGCAACGGCCCTAAACTAGAGCCCTGAGGTACCCCATAACTTACAGGAGCAGCAGAAGAACAATTATTCCCAATCTTTACAGTGAAAGTTCTACCCTCCAGGTAAGAATGGAACCAATGTAAAGCCACCCCACTTACCCCAACACACCGCTCAAGACGCTCCAACAAAATGGTATGATCCAGTGTGTCTAACAAAACAAGACCGACACAATTTCCATTGTCAACGTCCAATAAAATATAATTTAATACCCTAATAAGGGCAGATTCAGTACTATGACCAGTTCTGAACCCTGACTGAAACTTTGTGTTTATCCATTATGTCAAGCTCTGCTAAAAAAGAAGAGAGCTGACAAAACAACATTTTCTAGGATTTTTGCAATAAAAGGAAGTTTAGAAATTGGATGAAAATTATGTATAAAGTATAAATGGATCTAGGCCAGGTTTCTTTAACAAGGCCTCCACTACCGCATGTGTCAAACTCGGTGGCACACAACCCTCTGCCAGACTTTTGTTTATGATTAATAAAATGTATGGACCATAAACTTCTATAAAGAGACTGGTTGGGATCACATCATTTTCTGATGAAGTGACCTTTAACACACCCATGATCTCAGTGATTTCCAAAAAGCGACATCATCTTTAAGACTCTAAAGGAGCAGCAACAACTCCAAGATCTAACTTCGTTTGGTGCAATTGCAGAGCGAATACCATCGATTTTATCAATAAAAAACTTTTAAAATCTCTCACAATTTGCAACCGAAGACTCAGGACAAACCGTGACTGCAGGCTCTAAAATGGAGATAGCACACGAGGCTGGTGGGAATATTTTACAATGATTTCAGAAAAATAATTTGCTCTTTAGTCAAAGAATTCCCTCAGCATAATATAAGAAATCTGCAACTTATCCTTCTTCCATTTCCTTTCTACATTCTAAAAAACTAGAATTGCGAGATATAAACATGTGATTGCGAGAACAAAGTTAGAATTGCAAGATATAAAAAAGTTATAATTTTGAGATAAGCTCACAATTGTGAGAAAAGTCAGAATTGCGAGATATAAAAAGTTTGAATTTTGAGATATAAACCCACAATTGTGAGAAAAAGTTATAATTGCGAGATATAAAAAAAGTCTGAATTGCGAGATATAGGCTAAACTTACAATTACGAAAAAGTCAGAATTATGCAATTCTCACTTTATAACTCGCACCACGGAATAAAAGATAAAATAAAGACAATTCCGACTTTCTTCATCAGAATTGCGAGATAAAAAGTCACAATTATTTTTCAATTTTTTTATTCCGTGGTGGAAACAAGCTTCCATAGTATTGGGTTACTGGGAAATAATCAGCACAATTACTCCCGACTCGTTACGGAATAAACTCTTCAGATGAATTTGGCTGAAATCCAAATTCAGAATGAAAGCAGGTTTGTTTTTGTTTCCATTTTGAATGACCATCTGCTCTTCATCTCTCCATATCAGCTGTGCTTTACACAGAATCTCTTGATACTTGAGCTTTTAAAGAAACACGAAGCTCAAATATGACAAACATTTGCTCTCAGTGGATGAAAGGATTTCGTGTCAGTGAGGAATGTTATCTAGAGTCGGTCTGAAGGGGATGTGATTTATTGAGACTGCAAACAAACGCAGGGACGTGAAGCTCTTCGCCCACTTTACTGTCCTTCCTCAGAAGAAGATCTACTGATACATCTGTAATCTGAGACACTGAAATGTGCCATACTGCATTCTACTGGACCTTAAGTACTGTGTATTTCAGTGGAAGAATTTGAGACGTGTTTAATGTGTCGTCTTTCTCTGGAAACGTCTGTCCGTGGATGTCTGACTGGACACAAGCGCATCATTCATAGCAGACTTTGTATAAAATCTAACCTATAAACTCCAAAAAATATTTGTCAACCGGTTTATGAACACTCTCATGTTCATGATTCTCTGATTAATAGTCACAGGACAAAAAATAGTAATAAAAATACATATAAAATACTAAAAAACCAAATTAAACATTAAAATATTTGATTAAAATTGTTTTATTTTGATTGTTTTATTCTATCATTTTTAAGTTTCATTAATTTAACACATTCATGTTCACAGTTCTCTGATTAATAGTCATAAACAAATAAAAAAAGTTGAAAAAATACTAAAGTTAAATTTTATGAAAATTAGCTTTCATAAAGTCACAAACGTTGAATTACAGGATCAGGACAGACTGTTGACATACTGACAGTGTGATGTTATGCTAATATAGATGAGATATTTAGTCTCTCAACTAATTTTGATCAAAAGAGAGAAATGTTGGTTACACTTTACTTGAAGGGGTGTGCATAAGACTGACATGACCCCTTCATAATCATGACATGACACCTACATAATCATGACATGACACATGTCATGAATATGAAGGGTTTTTATGCATATTTATGACAACTGCCATTAAGTGTCATTTGCTCAGTTATGTAATTTTTAATGCAAAGATGACATTGTTTGAGATGTCTTTGTTATGGGCTATGGTTGGTGGTAAGGGTAAGGGTAGGGTTAGGTCAAATAATGTCATATTTGCATTAAAAATGACATAACTGAGCGAATGACACTTAATGACAGTTGTCATAAACATG